ATATATGTATATATGAGAAGAATGGGGAGGAAAAGAAAAATAAGGTATATAAAAAAATTAAAATCCAGCAATTATCTAGAAGTATCTGTTTGTAGATTGTCATTATTAAACATTTCTAAAGGTGTATTGTCATTTCAAAGATATGGGTAACGTTCCTCTTATTCACAGCCCACGTCACAGGTCCTGTTTGCCACTACTTCCAGTACAGTATGGATATACAAAGTGCATTATTCTACCTATAGGTTAAACAGAAGAAAATAAAATATACATGGGGATGCATGTGAATGAGCAATGTGGTAATGTTTTATTGCCATTTGACTATATCTAGAATATTCATCAATTACAGGATTATTTTAAAGCCTTGGAAGATGCAGATGAAAAAGTACAGCTAGCAAATCAAATTTATGATCTGGTAAGCACAATCATAGTTTAATTTTACATGGGATCCAGGGGAAACGGGATCCTCATACTGTTGATGGAAAATGCTTCACACCTTTAAAAAAAAAACGAATGATAAAACACAGCTTTTGATTTATGCAACATTTAAACTTGAATTTGTGGTAAAATGACGTCTGTCATTTTGGAGGTGCCGACTGGTTGCTACCTCTCCTAGGCTTACACGGTAGAATGCTTTCCCATTTACTTTCATACTGAATTGAAATATTTTCATCTGTCTGTGTGTATTTTCAGTACTGATTTACATTTTATATGCATTAAAAAAACAACCTTTGACCTTGCCTAAAAGGCATTAGAGATAGAAATCTGCAGATGCCGGTAATGTTCAGACATCTCATTTCAATAATACTGGACTATAAATGTAAAAAAGATTTGGAAAATGTTAAAACTTGTTGATTGTAATGTTTTTTAGGTAGACCGACATTTGAGAAAACTTGACCAAGAACTGGCGAAATTTAAGATGGAACTGGAGGCTGATAATGCTGGCATTACTGAAATATTGGAAAGAAGTGGGTGCACATTTTTGTACAGAATAACACTTGTACTTAAATAATTATATTTGTGAATTTTCTGGTACATGGCTTGGTACATGGCATTGAGGCCTTTAGGTGTAGAAGAACCATATCAATAGTATCAAATATGTGAAACCAGGAGCATCAGTTCAATCATATAGGGTTTCTTCCCTTCAAACCAGGGCAGGTACCATCACAAAAAGCACAGCAATACAAGTAGGGAGAAAAAAGTGATAATACATTATTTAAGTACAAAAAATAAATATCACACCTTTCCCATTAAAACCAGGACATAATTGTCCACAGTAGCTAACAAACATGCAACACCTCCTATTATAGGCTAACGTCTTCTAGGAGACAAACTGCTGGCAACAGTTGCTATGCAGTAATAGAACCAAGCACGAAAGAACACTATAACAGTGTAATAAGGCCAAACATACTGTATAACCATCATATGGAATCTTATTTTGGCAAGCATATTCAGTCCTTCTAGGATTATTATCAAGGAAGTCCAGAGATATGATGAATCTCATATGCAAAGTTCCATCTCCCGCCATCAAAGTGCACATATCAATAAAGAGTAATTTTGTGAGACGCCAATAAATTGGCAGATATTATTCATGCAAAGTTCCATTTCTTGAGATAAAGTGCCCAAATCGGTGGATATTGAAAAACACAGTGATTGCCATACGCTTGATATTATTTGAAAAAGTCCTGGCTTACTTCTCCACTCCCATACTTTATGTACATCATCTGTGCTATAGATATACCGCCACTGAGGTAAATAGAATGGGCTTTCTTTAGCTTTTTCATTCTGGTGATCTGATCAGTAAAACACTCAGCTGCCCAGTGTATCAGATGGATTTCCTTGAGGATTGGGATGCTGCATGCCAATCTCCCAGGAGAGTCATTTTGTTTAATATCTCAAAATTACTCTCCTGGGAGATTGGCATGCAGCATCCCAATTTCACCGCCCATAGCACGTGGGCAGAGCAATGTCTGATGATGATCATGCATTTTGTGGATTTGTAATGTCAAATTGTTTCGAACATGAGTCCCTTTATCATTTTTCATTACATTTGTTTAGGTGAGTGATTATCTTGCCTGCATAGATTTTAACTTCCCTATAGATGTGTGATGGCATTGAATCGTGCACAAACGGTATATAGTTAGCCCGGCTTGGGTTGCAAGGGCATTCTATCTGTTGCTTTAAAGAAGCTGGTTTAGGTTGCTTGTTTCTTTCATTGTTTGATAATTATTTGAATTCTGCTCTTCTAGGGTCTTTAGAACTAGACACACCAACTCAGCCTGTGAATAACCACCATGCTCATTCTCATTCCACCGGAGAGAGTAAGTACAATGAGCGTTATCTTATATCATTTCTAAACTGCAGCAGCCATTAAACACAAATGCTTATGTCTACAGAAAGGAAGCACAATCCATCATCCCATCATTCTACTACAGACCATGTACCAGAGAAAAAATTCAAGTCTGAGGCGTTGTTATCAACACTTACGTCTGATGCGTCTAAAGAAAATACTCCAGGCAAGTTTTGTGTCATACATACAAACGCTGGTTTGCAGGGACAGACACATAGTCTAGGTGCATTATTAACAGTCACTCGAATAGTGACCCTTTCAGTCCATAAAATCACCTGGTTTGTTTTACTAGTGTAGTTTACTGTTTAATCCAAAAATGTTAATTTAGGTTAAGTGAGCTGTTTTTTTTAGTTCTCATTTCTGTTGGGGGAATAGACTGGGATTTGACTGAGAGCTGCACAATTGGTGGGAAATTCAACTCTGTGCCTCTATATGTGTAGAGAGGGATAACATAACACTATATTTATTATGGGGTCTATTCACAAAGCTGCCGTGAGCAGCCGAGTGAATAACCAGCCCGAAGTGAAGTGAGCCGAACGCTGTTCGGCTATTCACTTCAGGCTTGTACGGCTGATTTCAGCCGTACACCGACTAAAATCGTACATCGGCTTGCTGCGCCTGGCTACTCGCTGCCGTTCTGCCTATTTTCATAGATGCCGAACAGCAGTGAGCGAATAGCGGCTCGGCTATTCTGCTCGATACCTCTGTGGTAACGAGCAGAATAGAAAAACAGTTAAAAAAGTAGAAAAAATAAATAAAAAATGATTGGGCGGAGCTAGCAGTGACAGCTAGATCCGCCCAACTGTTTTCTATTGGCCGGGCGGTTCTGCTGCCGTCAGAAGAAAAAAAAACACCATAGGAATGCATAGCTAGATTCCTATTGGCTATTTCACTTTGCAATAGCAAACTAGCTATTGCACCCGCCCTCTGCTGCTGTCAATCACTAGAAGGGGACCTGATGGAGAACTTCAGGTCCCCTCTGCTGATTGACAGCAGCAGTGGGCAGGTGCAATAGCTAGTTTGCTATTGCAAATTGAATAAGCCAATAGGAATGTAGCTGCATTCCTTTTTTATTATTTATTTTTATTCTGACGGCAGCCAACGGCTCCGATGTCAGAAGAAAAAAAAAGACAACAGAGCAGGGAAAGGTTTACTCTGCCTAATTGAGCAGAGTAAAACTTTCCGGGAGAAAGTGTTGCTCGGCCGGGAGCCGCTATCTAATAGCGGGAGCGTCCGGGAGATTTGGGCTATCTGGAGATCAGCGTCCCTGGTTACCTGGTAACCAGGGACACTGATTTATCTGTGCAAGTGGCCGGAGCCAGCCGTGAGATGACGGCTGGCTCCGCCCAGCCGGCCGCTCGGCCAGCTTCGGCTTTCACCTCGGCTCAGTCGAGCCGAAGCATATGCCTTCGGCTCGACTGAGCCCCTCGGCCAACTTCGGGAGCTGTACGGGCTATAGTGAATAGCCCGTACAGCAGCCCTTCGGTCGAAGCTAGCTGAAGGATCAGTCGAAGCTACAGCTAGATCCTTCGGCAGCTTTGTGAATAGACCCATATATGTTAATTCCTGTGCTACACACTATATGAGCAAGTACATCTTTGAGTTGTGCTTGGAATCTCACAACCGTTCACACCTTCTAGTTTTATTGGTAAATGGTGATAGCAATCACATTAATAATGCACAAGTCCTCCTTTTTATTAGAACAGTGACATGTGAAGCAGTGATGCTAGGTTTGTGTTTTGATAAGACTGGGGTTTTTGTATGGCAATCAGAAAACAGCAGGATGGATGGAAGGAAGAATACAGTAGACAAGGATAGTGAGGTGCACTTCATTATGATTATATACCTTTTTGTAGTAAAGAGTTAAATAGACAATAAACTTACCAATCTGTTACATGGTCCATTACATGCACATAATATACTTGCTAATGAGCTTCACCCTTTGCTTGCTCTAACTGATCACTTTTGAAATGGCGTTAGTCTCTGCATGATGCGCTTTTATGGACCTGCATAATTATGTTTTTGTATATTTCCCTAGGGTGTAGAAATACCATGTCCTCCACTACTACTAACGTTTACAACGTGAATTCCTCCCAGCCACTAGCATCATATAACTTGAGCTCTCTTTCAAGCGGAGCTGCTGCAGGAGCTGGAGCTGGGGCCATTACCATGGCAGCTGCTCAAGCGGTTCAAGCAACAGCACAGGTACAACATATGTATTCATGCTTTTTACACAGTGTATCTCCAGTTTACTTTGCTTTTATTTGAAATATGTGAAAATATCAAACTGAAAATATCAGAGGACACATTTAAAGGTGTACTTTGGTATTTTCACATATTTCAAATAAGAAATAATCTGTTTTTACTGGTTATGTACAGATGAAAGAAGGAAGACGAACGTCCAGTATGAAAGCCAGCTATGAGGCATTTAAAAATAACGACTTCCAACTTGGGAGAGAGTTCTTGTCTAGAGACTCGACGAGTTATTCATCTTCAGCCTTGGCTTCTACACTAACACAGACCTTGACGTCTTCAGCAACCACAGACTCAAGAAGTGGCCGAAAAAACAAGTAAGTGAGGTTTGGGCTCCATTCACATATGGCGTTTACGTTTTCCGTGCAGCAAGAAAACGCGCAATTTTTTACATACGCATGGATTTCCCGCATTTGAGGCTATCACTCTAGTCGCAAGCCCTTAAAATCTCACGCTTGGACTATTTTGTTTGACGCATGGTTTTGTACCGCGCAGAGGCCGCAATGGTCTGACCAATGCACATTGGAATGCATTGTTTTGCATGTGTAGCGGTCATGTGTGAATGGCGCCTTAGAGAAGTTACATTAAAGCAGAACTAAACTCTGCTGCTGGTGCTCATGCGTTTTGCCTGCCAAATGGCACCCTCTAAAGATGTGTTGGCCGTGATCTCCCTCCTGACTCCATTGCCGCCGCTGACATCTTCCCCCTTTGTTCTCTTTCTTTAGCTATACAGATTGGCCGGGATGACATAACTTTTGCACATGTGCACGGAAGTTACTTCATCCTGGCATTGAACACAAGCTGAAAATGTACTTTATTGTTATTATTATACAGGATTTATATAGCGCCAACAGTTTGCGCAGCGCTTATTGTCACTAACCTGCACTCATTCACACTTTTTGTATTTTGGAGTGATGACATTTTCTTGTTAAAGATATTTGCACCTCGGGTATTAATAAACCCTGGTGGTTTATTATCAGTGTTGTTATCGTTATCTGCTACACCTAAATGTTGTTTTCTTCAAGGTATCCTTTTACATAATTTCTGTATGCTTCACATTGAGTTAATTGGAGCCAAGCATACATATTGATGAAAGTGCTCCGTAATTGTTTACTAGTTGCGTACAAAGCGCATGTTTCTTCTTTACCCCATGATATTACAGGCATTGAAAACAAAATTCACTCCCCGCTCCAGATAATTATCCCCACAGCCGCTCAGTCACGGGTGCCCGCTTCCAGATTATCTCATCCACACATCAGTATTATACAAAAATGAAAAAAGCCACACTCCATAATCATGTAGTTCTATTGAACACATTTCTGCCATTTAGACAGTCCACCTTGATGCATAGATAGATGGGCTGTCTATATACCAGAAATTCATTTGATATACATCTTTATCGAAAAGGAGTAAAGCTTTTTTTTTTTCCTTTTGTGTATAACATTGATATCATAGGCATGCATGTATACATTTTAAGTGTTTTTATGTGATTTTTGATGAACTATTACTTTGTCTCTTTCTCTGCTTAGATTTGACATAAAGTATTCTTACTTATATTATTTTGCTTTTTAGGAGCAATAATAAATCTGCAAATCAACAATCTTCATCGTCTTCATCTTCTTCCTCATTGTCCTCTTGCTCGTCGTCATCTGCTCTAGCGCATGAGCTGTCTCATCAACAGACAGCAGCTGTTCCAGAGACGGACTCTAATAGCCAAGTTGACTGGACATATGATCCCAATGAGCCCCGCTATTGTATCTGTAATCAGGTGAGGCTGCTTGATGACTCTAGAGTTTTGCTTAGCAGTAGGGGGGTCTTGCAGGAATATTCTGCTCAGAAAAAATGTAGCCTAGATCTTACAAATTAGTACACAGGTGTCTTGTCTGGTTGTCTTATTATTTTCCAGAGATTTATAACATGGCATTAATTTCTTCTACTATAAGTTTATTATGGTTACAAAGCAATACGTCACTGAAGATCTTGTGTTGGTTATTTGTACTTCTTCCTTACAACATAACACTTTTGGTAAATGAAAAACAGAAAAGAGATAAGTGCTTCATAATTCTGTCGTGCAGCAAGGCAATGCTACTGAACTGTGAGACAGATTAAAGTCTCCATTCACAAAGCTTTAACACAATGATAAGGCTGAAAATAACTGTCATTTTTTGAATGTAAGTATGCTTATCCTTGTGTTCGCTTTGGTAGTTGAGCCTTATGAGACAGATTTACTATGTGATTACAGCTTGATTCAGAAATCACCCCTCTGCACTCCAAAAATATATAAAACGTACCCCTGACCACTTCTTAAGGTGTCCATACACCTTACAACCATTGCACGACTTTCGTTGTGTGATGGTTGTAAGGTAATTAAAATCTCGTACGATCTGCCCATCTTGGACAGGCAGATCGAACTTGCGATCATCGCAAGCCCGCCCCGCTGAGGGGAGGGCTTCTGATTCCAATGCTGAGCGGGCAGTGTGTGCTTCCCCCGGCGAGAATCGTACAATTTTGGCCGGGTTTTCGAGCCTGCTCAGAAGAAAAAAGAAGTGCGACCATACAGTAGAAACGGTCGCACACCTTCCATACACCTGCCGTATGATGGTGGGAACACCCGCGATTATCGTACGATAATCGGCAGGTCTATGGTCACCTTAACCAGTTGACATCCGCGGTGTTAAACCCCCTTCCCATCCAGGCCATTTTTCAGTATTCAGAATGTGATTTTTCAGTGGAAATCTGTCTCCTCTAAAGTGGTAAATACACCAACAGTTTAGCATATATATTGCAGTACACTTCGATCTAATTTTGTTTGGAACAATGTCCCTGTGAGTGTTTTAGATCTTTTGTTCCCACTATGTGTCACTTATGAAAGTGGTTTTGTAAACATTTTAACTACATTGCAGCTTTTCTATTTTAGGTATCTTATGGTGAAATGGTAGGATGTGATAATCAAGATGTAAGTATTCCAAATGTATTTCTGAAATGTAATAAAAGTGTAGGGGAAATGTTTAGTGGGATAAGTGTGGAGCTGCCCATAAACAACATGACGTAAGCAAGCAATGTCCCTCCTGATTACAACAGCTGGGCTGGTTTCCCTCAGGGAGTCCGAGGCATTTTGCTATTGTGCAGGGAGATTTTATTACGTGTTTAAATGATTAGGGTATGTGGATTATTAAACCTTTTCCTATGCTTTTCTTGATGTTTGCTACGAGTCTCCAGATTGGTGAATAGATTTGTTACATTCTCTGTGGTGCAATTTGTTTTAAGAACCTTTGTTAATTTATGGTAGAAGCCTGCATTTTCATGTGAACTAACCTTTACAGATATGAGTGAGGGCTGTTTCACACATTTACAGAGGTGAGCTGTGTTTTTCCGCACCAGTCTAATGCAGGTCACTACTAGAAACCCATTCTTTTTTTAATGCTGGTGTGATATGAAAAATGCAGCCATGCCGATTTACTAAAGGGTTTTAGAATGTTCACACTATAAAATCTTTGAATATTCTATTCAGTTATCCAAACATGGATACCTGTAACAGTGTCCTTAGTTGAGTAACTTCTATGACATCTGTCACATTGTAGGCTGGGAAAGGTTTTGGGTGAAATATTTGTAAAATGTATACAAACATAATACATTTATAAGGACTCATGCACACGGGCGCACTGCAGAGCAAATGCAGGTTTTGTATTTGTGTTAGCGGCACCCGGGAGCAGCTACTGTGGTTTTCTGTCCATAGCATTGTATGGATAGAAAACGCTGTACACCCGCAAAAGCTGTACGAAAATATGCCTGTGTTTTGTAGCTGTATGCAAACAATCAAATAACGCCGTTCACTGGTCTGACTCTGAAATCTGATTTCTTTACTATGAAAATCAAGTTGTGTGTAATGTTTTTATTGATTACATTATCTCTCCTTATTTCATTGTTTTTTTTCAGTGCCCTATTGAATGGTTCCATTACGGATGTGTAGGATTATCAGAAGCTCCCAAAGGAAAGTGGTATTGCCCACAGTGCACAGCTGCCATGAAAAGACGAGGAAGCAGACATAAATAAAATGAAAAAAAGACTTCCTTAAACATCTAAAACATTTTTTTTTTTATTAAACTGAAACCTGCACATCATTTCATGTTCACAGCAGTTCATTTGGTAATTGGATTGGACAGTCGCTGGAGTATTCAAAAGAATACTATCTCGGTATATCGTCATCTCATATGTCAATATATGGCATTTTGAAGTCATATTTCTGTCCTTCTGGGATTTCAATGCTGAGGGTTATCTGTAACTTCTGTGCATATTTTACAGAGGTAATTCTATGAAAACGCTATATGAAACAAAGGCTATAATGGAACATGGTATAAAAATGTCACAGGATCTACTATTAAATAAGAGTATGCAGTAATTTTTAAGCTCCTTTTTATATATATCTATTTTGTTTTCTTCAGAAACATGTCTCAGCTGGCTGAAGAAACTTATCAGTGTTGTTGGGCTGGCATCCATTAACTGTACATAACCTATTTAATCTGTTATGTGAGAGAGACAATTTTGTTAATGTTACTACACAAATACTGGTGGCAACATCAGTGTGATTTCCTTTTTTACCAAATGATTTTTTTGTGTTTTCAATGTAGTAGTGACAAGCAAGTAAAATACAACTTATTTGACGTTTTTGTTATGAATTAACTCTTAGGAAGTATGATATTGTGACCATTTGTTAAACTTTGACTGGTAGGATGTTTCATGATAAGATGTCCTGGCATTGTGAATGATTAAAGAGTTAATAAACCAAAAAGAAGTTGCTTTATATATGAACACCACCACAAACATGCATGTTAAAAATTCCCCATAGCTCTAATAGCAGTAGAGGGTACTGCCACACAGGTAGTATCAATGAATTGCAGTGCAATACATTTAGCATATAGCTGTCGATGCAGATATAAGACACGCACAGGTGTAGCATTCTCCTAAACTTAATGTTTGTCGCCAAAGTTTTGTCAGTGTGCATCTCTCCTTTCTCAAACCAAATGTAGAGAGCTCAAGATGTCACACTTGTGCTTATTCATCTGGATGAGTCTTTTGATCTGCTAGTAGTCATACATGGGGAGATTTTTTACCAAGATTGCTGGTTTCCAGTAGCTCTATACATGCCTTTTTGGAGCACCATATTACTAACGCACTTTATTGACAGCGCTACTGATGCATGGATTCAGTGGTAATGGGGTAAAGACATAATTTCCCTTTTCTGTGGAGAAAAGGGAGCAATTGTTATGATCTGCATGTAAAAAACAATTGTTTTCTATGTGCCCTAGTATTGACTGGTATAGTTCAGTTGTCTTACACGTCAGTCACCGTATATAGTGTGAACATGTCTGATATCCGTAACAAACACACACACCATGTGCAATAACAGACAGCTATGCAATATCAAGCACTTGGAAAAGTGCTCATTTCTGTGTGTCTCATGTGCAGTGCTCTGCAGATAAACATGCTTCTCTGCGGGGACCTGAATAAGGTGTACAATTTGTACACTCCAAATAAAGTTAGTGACACTAAACTCAGGAGTTAAGTCTTAAAAATGCATTCAGGTACCTTCACTATTAACAAAAGTAGTCATCACTCCTGTAATGGACTACAATCTCACGTTTAGTTTCCTAATTTGTACTGAGATTGTAGTCCATCACAGGAGCGAGCTTGGAGTGCTGACTACTTTACAACAGACACAGGGACCATGGGGAACAAAAGTAGCCACCTTCCCGAAGGAAGGACAGTGTCAGCACACATTCAGAGATGATTTGAGGATCTACAGCCGAGTGTTACATAAATAAGATACATTTTGGTACTTGAATGTATTTTTAAGGCTTAAGGGCCTGTTCACATGAGGCCCTTGTGTTTGTGATGCGTTCCAGTAAAAAAAAAATGTTATGTTAGCTGCAGTGCAGTGCGTTTTTGAAGCGTTTTGCGTTTCCTGACCGTACAAAATGTGACATGCGGTATTTTTCTGTCGTAACCTGAACGGACTGCGCACGTGAGAACTAGCCCATAAAACACATAGGGATACATTGGGATGCATTTTTAGTGCAGGAGCGTACGGATCAGGTCAGCACAGAAAACGGACGTTGTGTGAACAGGCCCTAACTCCTGAGTTAAGTGTCACTTTAAAAAGTAAACCATGTTCTGCGCTGAGACAGCACATCCCGTCCTCGCAGGACCTGTCACAACACACTAGCTTGTCTGCTAAAACTGAGCCTTTTAGGGGGTGGAATAGTGTGAATGTAGCTCGAAGCTTGCCGTAGACACTATATCCGAGGCTCTTAACACTTTTGCAATTTCAGGCCCCCAATGGATTGTCCAACATGTCCCAATGTCTCCCTTCGCTAGTGTGTCCAAGTCGTCATCACCAGTCCTTTTTAGATATCAATTAAGGATGGACTGATATAATTTTTTCAAGACCAAGCACTGTTCCTCCTTTAAACAATACAGACTAAGGATTTTAGGGCAGTTTCTTTTTAATTATGAAGAACTGTAACTCAATCCGTGATTATTCAGCAATGGAGAATGACAACCAGCAATAGAGGACTACAGATCACATCAATCCGTGATTATTCAGCAATGGAGAATGGCAACCAGCAAGAGGACTACAGATCCCATCAATCCAGGATTATTCAGCAATGGAGAATGGCAACCAGCAATAGAGGACTACAGATCACATCAATCCGTGATTATTCAGCAATGGAGAATGGCAACCATGGATTGCTACGATTTATAGTCCTCTAGCCGGTTGCCATCCTCCATTACATCTGACCAGCACTGTGAATTACACCAAAAAGAGAAAAACAATAGGCAGCCACAGTATAAAAGTTTATTTCCCCGCCCTCAGGAGGGTATGGCAGGCTCCAGGAGGGCTATGAGGGTCACTCAGCAGTGCGGCAGTGTGTCTGCAGCCGTTCACCAGGGCTATGTACGGTCTCACCAGTGCTGCATTCGGGTCTCATCTCCTATGCTCACATTTGGATGCTTTGATTTACTAATTTCTATTGTTTGTGTAACTTTTTATTTTATAATACTTACAGTGGGGCAAAAAAGTATTTAGTCAGCCACCAATTGTGCAAGTTCTCCCACTTAAAAAGATGAGAGAGGCCTGTAATTGGCATCATAGGTAGACCTCAACTATGAGAGACAAAATGAGAAAACAAATCCAGACAAATCACATTGGCTGATTTGGAACAAATTTATTTGCAAATTATGGTGGAAAATAAGTATTTGGTCACCTACAAACAAGCAAGAGTTCTGGCTCTCACAGACCTGTACCTTCTTCTTTAAGAGGCTCCTCTGTCCTGCACTCATTACCTGTATCAATGGCACCTGTTTGAACTTGTTATCAGTATAAAAGACACCTGTCCACAACCTCAAACAGTCACACTCCAAACTCCACTATGGTGAAGACCAAAGAGCTGTCGAAGGACACCAGAAACAAAATTGTAGACCTGCACCAGGCTGGGAAGACTGAATCTGCAATAGGCAAGCAGCTTGGTGTGAACAAATCAACTGTGGGAGCAATAATTAGAAAATGGAAGACATACAAGACCACTGATAATCTCCCTCGATCTGGGGCTCCACGCAAGATCTCACCCCGTGGGGTCAAAATGATCACAAGAACGGTGAGCAAAAATCCCAGGACCACACGGGGGGACCTAGTGAATGACCTGCAGAGAGCTGGGACCAACGTAACAAAGGCTACCATCAGTAACACACTACGCCGCCAGGGACTCAGATCCTGCAGTGCCAGACGTGTCCCCCTGCTTAAGCCAGTACATGTCCGGGCCCGTCTGAAGTTTGCTAGAGAGCATTTGGATGATCCAGAAGAGGATTGGGAGAATGTCATATGGTCAGATGAAACCAAAATAGAACTATTTGGTAGAAACACAACTCGTCGTGTTTGGAGGAGAGAGAATGCTGAGTTGCATCCAAAGAACACCATACCTAGACTGAAGCATGGGGGTGGCAACATCATGCTTTGGGGCTGTTTCTCTGCAAAGGGACCAGGACGACTGATTCGTGTACAGGACAGAATGAATGGGGCCATGTATCGTGAGATTTTGAGTGCAAACCTCCTTCCATCAGCAAGGGCATTGGCGATCAAACTGTGGGCGGGGGACATGGCTGTGGTGCAACCCCTCGCCCCCTCCCGCCCCTGAACGCATTCCAGTGCGTTCTAGAGGCGCGGGCGTCCTATCCTCCCGCGGTGCTCGCGTGGCCGACGTTGCACACGCGGAGAGGTGTCCCGCCCATTTCCATCTGCGGCGTCTAACACATTCAGCCGGCAGCCGCGGGAGCATAGCAGTAGCCAGCTCCTTTTGCACACATGGCATTATTTTTTTATTTGTTTTTTATTGTTGGGGGGCTTTGGGCACATATTAGAGGTCTAAACAGCCCCCTGATATTTCCCTTTTAAAATAGAAAAACATTGAGGACAGAAAGTCCTCACTCTTTTTCTGCAGCCTCTGTTCTAAATGAATGGAAAGCACAGAGGCTTCCCATTCAGTCAGAAAATATTTACTATCACCAGTTTCTGAATGGGGAGGAGGCTCTGTACAGAGTGCTTCTCCCCATGTGTCCCCAGTTATTTACAAACACTGGAGTGATCAGCTGATCGCTTCAGTGTTTGTCCTGCACAGAGGATTGGTACATTTCATTGATATGTACCGATCCTATGCTGCTCGGCCACGCACAGAGGGGGGCTACAACTTCTCCTCTGGATCTCCCCTGCTCTCCCGGGAGATCCGAGGAGCAGAGAAAAAGGCACTTCAGCTGCGGGGTGGGGGGAGAGCGGGCGGGTGTTGGAGCCGATGTAACAGCAGCATGTGCAGTGAGGAGAGAGAAAGCTGCCGGCTGTCAGATCCAAGCCGAGCGTCTCTCCTCACCGCTCGGCGTGCTGCAGTGATAGCGGCTCCGTCCCCCGCCGCCGACTGCAGCTTCACTTTTCCTCGGATCCCCGCTGCATACAGATGGGGGAGAGCAGCGGGGATCCAGAGAAGACGGGACATCGCGATCACTGGTAGATCGCGATCAACCTTATGGGCACCCCTGGTATAAATTGTAGCATTACCATGTATTGTGTTAATGGGCTGCCAATGCACCTCAATGGATCACAAAATGTAAATGCCCATGGCAACCAATCAGCTTTTCTCTTCAATTTGTTCTTTGAAAGATTTTTTGTAAATGTAGAAACTTCTAGAATTGCTCCAGTTTAGATCAATGCCGCACAATGAGTGTTGTAGTGCACTGTGGGCACAAATAGTGCAAGGTTATTTTCTCCATAGATTAAGAGCCTATTGCTAATGAATTAACGCAGAGCACCTTAATGCACAAAAACGTGTGGTAGTGCATGCAAAAATGTAATTGGCCCTTAGTATTTAAGGGTAATGCTCGACTATTGAAATAAATGTAGGGATAAAGTAATTACCTGGCCTTCCTCATGTCATCCTGCTACAGGTCAGCCCTGCCCTCCTGACCCCCCATTAGGACAATCCTTACTGGAGCTTAAAAGAGAGCTACTCTATCAACCCATTGTTCTTTTTTTCGTCCTCACTTTTTTGTCAGGGTATTGGTTTTTGGTAAAGAAAAAGGTTCCCCTACTGGTCTGGGTTCAGCCTCTCCTGGATAGTAAATCTGCCTTATGGCTGGTGCCAAATGTGCTGGCCTCTAGACCAGTGGTTCTCAACTCGTGGGTCGCAACCCAAAAGTGGGTCGCGGCGTCATGTCTGAATAGACCGGCCTGA